GGGAGAGGGAGAGTGAGAGTGTGTGAGAGTGTTAAATCTCCCCCTCTCATAATAGCAGGCTACTATGGAGAGATCCTTCACATGTACCTTTTTTTAACCACCTGTATATCTGTGTTTTCTATACCTAGAACTTCTTTCTCAATCCCATCTGCCATTTTGCCTGCCTCTCTTCTGTCAATCCATTCTCAAAAATGACTTCTTCAAGATGTCTTGAACTTAAACCTTTAGTATATCAAATATAAGTTAAGGGTTAGGGGGCTTGTGGGACTTGACAAAGGAGGGGTCTGGAGATGGAAGAACAAACCATTACAACCTTTGAAATAAGCCTGAGGGGGAAGGACTAGAGTAATTTTAATAATTATTAAGCCCACCATATAATTATACATTCAATTATTTCTTTGCACTATCTTGAAAGCTGCACAACAAATATGGAATACTATAGTAACTGTGGAAATGTGCTGCACATAGGAATTCTGGATTAAATTACTCTATTTCAGTGATGCTTTGTATCTATCTTCTGCTTATTTCTTCTTGAATCTTTCCATGGTGCCTTATTTGCATGAAATTACCTTACAATCTATTTAAGAATGCCACTGCAATCACTCCTGCATCCATCATCATTTTTAGTGCCTCAGTGCACACAGGTTGAGTTTGTAACAGTCTCCAACTCATCCCACCCAATTAAAAAAAGTTCTCAAAATTTACAATTCCCAAGTGTGAATTTCTTATTATGACCTTTCTTCTGTCAGTTATATTGTAAGATTTTTGTGCTAGAGGTTACTTGAAGCTTTGTGCTGTATACCATGTCAACCTTATTGTTTGTGCCAAATGTTAAATGCAATTGTACTACTCAATATAATTCAGTACATTACACTTAGAAATATGTTTTCATCTCAATTTAATCAAATCCGTTTTCAAAGTACTACTCAATATTATTCAGTACATTACACCTAGAAATACATTTTCATCTCAATTTAATCAAATCCGTTTTCAATTTATTTGTACTTAGAAATATTTCCAATTTTCAAAACGTGCAATTTTAAATTCCATATAGAAATTCTCACTGAAGAAGTAGCTTAGCAATATTGAGTTCATTTCTGCTCTCAAAATGACTTTGTAAAAATGGCATCACGAGGTTTTATATTAATTGTCTGACCAATTTCCATAACAACTGTGTTAAATTTGCAAGTAAAAAGATGTCAGTTAAAAACATAAAAGCCTCACATAGATAGGGCTTTGAAAGTCAAATTAGATTCTTTCCATCTTGTGTGCATCTTATGAAAATGATTCCATTGGCCAAATTAGGATACGAGTTTGCACAGGTGTCTGAAGACAGTGGAACTGTATAAATGTAGTTACTGGCATAATTTGGTTTGCAGAATCTGAAATATTGGTGCTGTTCAATATGGAAAAAGCTTAGGATTTGCATACATTTCAAAGTTTGCTTAAGGTTGGTATGTCATCAGAGGTGTGAAAAATTTTTACCCTGATAGACATAGATGTGCTGACGTAACCCCATGTGTGTTTTAGTTTGTGGTGAACCTTTGAGGTCATTTGGAGATAAGGTTCCTGAAATATAGACACCCTCCGATGTGCTATTTTTAATTGTCAGGGTGCTCTAATTCCACATGCAGAGTTGGATTGGCTTGAAAATGGGTTTTGTTAATGAGGATGTGAGGTAGTTTAAAGACAATATAAGATCATTTTAATTCAGGGGTCCTGAGAGACATCCTGACTCTTCATTGCTTGTTTTTTTAAATGCTTGTTCAGTGTGTGTCACAAGCAAGTCATGCTGAGACTGGGTTTAGGAGTCGAGAACAAGCAATCTTGCTGCATGACAGGCAGACTCTCCCGCCTCCCCCCTGGCAGATGCATTTTCTGAATGTCACAAGTGTTCAAATAGGAGTCATGATTTGTGGTGGTAGGCACTGAGAAAATGACAGGTTTTGTTGGAATGAGTAAGGTTCCTAATGTCTATTGTCAGTTTCACAGATGCACTGTAAGGTTGTGTACATGTGTGGTGTGGGAGGTATGACCCTAACTGTTTGCTTCTTGGCTTTCTAATGTTGGTGTTTTGTTGATCTGAGTGTATTTTCTGGTTTTCAGAGGTTTCTGTTTTTGGTAGCAAATCTTCATATTCTGGGGACACTGCTAACCCATCTTAACTCTACTATAATGAGTTTATTTTGTTACAGTATTGAATATTGGCTGGAGGCTGATACATAATATTTATGACTATACACAGAAAAATTTAACAAATGTGAACTTTTTTGGTAAAATTATTTTATAAACTTAAATTCAAAATATGTAAGCTTTATAGAATTCTGAACTTGAGTTGAATTTATTTTTTTTAAGACAACGTTATGGTTTCAAAAGGAAATGGAATATAAAGGCAAATCACTTCCTTAACTCCAGTTATTCTTTTATAACCTATTTTTGAAGTGGGAGTTTTATTAAATATGGTAGCTTTTTGTCCATGATTAATGCTATGAAAATAAGTTTTTATAGTATTTTGATTTTTAAGCAACCCATTACAAGTTAAATTAGCTAGATCTGTTGAATGGATCTTACTATTTCAGTCTCTTTCTGTGCGCATTCACATATTTCCTCTGTCGCCTCTTCCATGATCTTGTAATAATCAAGCAGTTTCATTCTGCTACGTCATGCATATTTCCATCCATTATTTTGACCTAAAGCAGTTGACTCATTTGTGGGCTTCTGGAATATGTCCTATAACTGAGGAATTTGTTCGTACAACTTTCAGAGTTAGTGGAGCTTAAGGATCAATATCCTTAGCTGGACCATGTATATTTGAGTCATGCTAAAGCAAGCTTTCCGGAACAGCTTTGTTCAGGCCATTTCATGATAGCAAATTTATTACTGAAGTCCTGAGCTGCTTTGTGGAGTGATTAATTAGTAGACAGATGCTCTATTGGTTTTAAGTTACTAATGCTAAATTAATTTTATTGCTAATTTTATCAGACCTGACTCCAGTGCTCAGTATATGAAACTTCAACCTTTATATTTGATTTTGTGTGCTATTATTGGACATGATGCCAAGAAGCGCTTGTTTAGTCACTGCAAGTCTTAAATAAAATAAAAGTATTTTATACCTTTCAGCACTCTCTGTGCATGTTAACACTGTAAGACCAAATATAATGACAAGTGTCAGCTTGCAACAGTTTTTTGTGAAGACTTGTTATAGGCTTCAGTGTCATTTTATTCAGGTATACTGTATATACTCACATCCAAGTGTGATCAGACATGAAACATGACTGTCTAGTGTAAGGAAGGTGCTGTATTTTAATGGTACATCAAAAAAGAATGGTTCCTGATGTTCAGGTTTTTTTTGATTAGGGGATCAACATACAGTTTTTACAGTCAATGGCTTGCAAATGTTTAGAATGTGTAACTGAAGTTGGCTGAACGAGACATGCTTCTGTACTTTTAGCCACATTTATTTACAGCTGCTTTTTGCTTGCCTAATAGTGAGTGCATTTTTGTAAAGTGATAGATTCACGCTATTAAAATATATTTTGTAGCAGAGAGTAATTTAAATTTAAACCGTCTGTATCTATTCCTGGTCAGTTCAGATTGCAAAGAATCTTTAAAGTCAGTATCCTCTGTTTTGGGGCTAAAAATAGGCTATTGAACATGCCTTGTGTAGTCTATGTTTCTTTAGCCTTTTAAACATTCTTTTATTCAGGTAACAGATACAGTGTTGATATGATAAAATAAGAGGGTATGAAAAATCCTTTCTAACATTACTGTCATATTTTATTGAAAATGTATTGAATTTTTTTGGGGTTCATGTTACAAGTTGAGGTGTAAAGATTGAATAAAAGTTTAGCATGTAAAAAAATAACCTTTCCCACTTCAACTAGGGATGTCAGATTTAGTTACTCAACTATTTGACTAGTCGGTGGAATTTCAATTAGTCGATAAGTGGAAGCAAAATGCAGGACAATGTAGCACTTTAAAGACTAACAAGATGGTTTATTAGATGATGAGCTTTCGTGGGCCAGACCCACTTCCTCAGATCAAATAGTGGAAGAAAATAGTCACAACCATATATACCAAAGGATACAATTAAAAAAAATGAACACATATGGGGAGCCGCAGCAGGGTTAGCGCCCAGCCCCAGGAGCTAACTCTGCTGCGACTTTGCCTTTTAAATGTATTACGAGCCTGCCAGGCAGGGGGCAGTGGGTACCGGGCATGAGCCAGGAATCGGCTGTCCCGTCTTGCGCCGGGTCCCCCCGCTGCACTTCTGCTTTTTAAATATATTAAGAAGCTGATTCCCGGCTCGTGCCCGGTACCTGCTACTCTTCTTGCCCCTCGTGGAGATGGTGGTTGGGTGAACCGGCTTTTAATCCTGCTCTATCAGAGGCAGCAAGGGCAGGGGAGGAGCAACCACTCGACTGTCTGATAAGCTTATGCTTATTGGATAGTCTACTTGTTGCTTACATCCCTACCCCCAACCCCACTTTACACAGGATTATATGCCATTGTTTTTATTAATTGAAACCCAGAAAGACTTTTGAGATGACCAAGTAGACCAGTGTTTATCAAATGGTGTTCCGCAGAACCCTGGGATTCCGTGAAGTGAAAGTAAGGGTTCTGCGAGAAAATTCCATTACAATAACATTTTATGATTTTAAAAATAATTAATATTTAAGCACTTATGAATTTTATTGAAAACAATTTTCATTTGTGTTTGCCACCATAAGTGTCCCTGTGTAATGCCAGCTTAGCCAGAGTGGGGACGATGATGTCACTACTCAGCGCCGATGTCCATATATTAGAACGTTATTAGGGGTTCTGCAAAATTCTTTTGAGTTTCAAATGGTTCCGGGGCCAAATAAAATTGGGAAACACTGAAGTAGACATTGGATCAGATGCATTCCTCTTTGTAATTCTGTTGTGATTTAGATTACACAGGTTAGGTAAAGACAAATGATGATGTTAAATCTGCCTGATTATCAAGAGTTGAAGATGTGAATTGTGCTGAAAAATGGGATTGTATGGAATGTGTAGTCTGGAATTCCTCGTAGAACATTTTTATAATTCTGTAACTTTGCATGGTGCTTTAGATAGTCAGAGAGACACAGTTTCTGTCCTCAAGAATGTATAATCTTATAACATGACGACAGCAAGGAGGAGGATAGAGAAAGAAGAGATCAAGACTAAAATCAGTAAACATGGCATATGGTGAGTAAATCATGAGTTCTGCTAATCTTTTTTTATGTGGAGGGGTGTGTGTGTGTGTGTATATATATGATGCCTTTTCCCAGCTTTGTCTTGGCATACAGTGGATAGAAATGTAGTTGGCAGATATAATATATTTGTAATCAATCACTGTCTCTGAAGATCAGGAGCTGACACCTAGAAGTAGGTTATGAGTTGGGGTGGGAGGGAATAACGGATGGTGTTGATTTGCTTGCTGAGGAAGCAGGTGGCAGCATACAGTGCCAGTTGGAGTCTCTGCTGTGCTCCTACATTCAGTGTGTTACAGTAATGCATTGTAGAGGTGAGGAGTTATGCTGCCTGTTGTTGCCTAATTTTTCTTGAGGAGAAGAGCAAAGTTTGATAGTAAGCAGCTTATGGACGTTGTCTAGGCCACTCATATGCCAGTTGGTCATTTCAGCTTAACTGTAAATAACAGAATACCAGAATTTTTGAGTTGTGGGGATCTTCTTTGAATGATGGTCCCTGTTGTATTCCACTGAAGGGTATGTACATGCACCTGAAGCCAGACTCTTTGCAAGTAGTACAGTTTGGTGGCCCGCTGTGCTTTCACCCAAAGCAATAAAAGCATCTCCAGTTACCTCTTGCTGCCATATGGTCCTCTGCACTCTCTTCTTGCTCTAGCTCTGGACCTGTGTCGCTCCCAGGACCATGACATGCTCTTTGGGACAATGCCCTCTGGCAGTGCCTGCTATCTGATCTCTTGCCCTCTTTTGCGGAAGGAGAGGGGAAAGGGGAAGGTGTCCAATCCTCAGTCTTGTGCCTGCTGCCGTGGTAAACTGCATCCAAGGTCTAGCCCTTCACCCCCCAGACAAGCTGACATCTGTCAAGGCCACTCTCCAGTGGTGGCTAGATATCGTGCAAGAGGGAAGGAGGGGACCCACTCTTCACCTAGGGAACCTCGCTTTTTGAGCCACTTCCCCATCACCTCTTGCAGCTTCTTGGCCCTTGTATCAAGGAGCTGATAGAGGAGGTATCTGAGCCTTTAGCTATGATCTTTGAAAAATCATGGCAGACAGGGGAGATTCCAGAAGACTGGAAAAGGGCAAATATTGTGCCCATCTATAAAAAGGGGAATAAGAACAACCCAGGAAACTACAGACCGGTCAGTTTAACGTCTGTCCCAGGGAAGATAATGGAGCAGGTAATTAAGGAAATCATATGCAAACACTTGGAAGGTAATAAAGTGATAGGGAATAGCCAGCATGGGTTTATGAAGAACAAGTCATGCCAAACTAATCAGATAGCTTTCTTTGATAGGATAACGAGCCTTGTGGATAAGGGAGAAGCGGTGGATGTCATATACCTAGACTTTAGTAAGGCATTTGATACGGTCTCACATGATATTCTTATTGATAAACTAGGCAAATATAACTTAGATAGGGCCACGATAAGGTGGGTGCATAATTGGCTGGATAACCGTAGTCAGAGAGTTGTTGTTAACGGTTCTAAATCCTGCTGGAAAGGGATAACAAGTGGAGTTCCTCAAGGGTCTGTTTTGGGACCCATACTGTTCAATATCTTCATCAATGATGTAGATATTGGGATAGAGAGTACGCTTATTAAGTTTGCAGATGATACCAAACTGGGTGGGGTTGCAACTTCTTTGGAGGATAGGGACATAATTCAAAATGACCTTAGCAAGTTAGAGAAATGGTCGGAGGTAAACAGGATGAGGTTTAATAGAGAGAAATGCAAAGTGCTCCACTTAGGAAGGAACAATCAGTTCCATACATACAAGATGGGAAGCGACTGTCTAGGAAGGAGCATGGCGGAAAGGGATCTAGGGGTCATAGTGGACCACAAGTTGAATATGAGTCAACAGTGTGATGCTGTTGCCAAAAAAGCAAATATGATTCTAGGTTGTATCAACAGGTGTGTTGTAAGCAAAACTCGTGAAGTCATTCTGCCGCTCTATTCTGCACTAGTTAGGCCTCAGCTGGAGTACTGTGTCCAGTTCTGGGCGCCACATTTCAAGAAAGATGTGGAGAAATTGGAAAGGGTACAGAGAAGAGTGACAAGAATGATTAAAGGTCTAGAGAAGCCTATGAAGCCAGGCTTCATGAACTGGGCTTGTTTAGTTTGGAAAAAAGAAGATTAAGGGGGGACATGATAGTGGTTTTCAAATATCTAAAAGGGTGTCACAAGGAGGAAGGAGAAAATTTGTTCCTCTTGGTTTCTGAGGACAGGACATGGAGTAATGGGCTTAAAGTGCAGCAGGGGAGGTTTAGATTGGACATTAGGAAAACATTCCTAACTGTCAGGGTGGTCAAATATTGGAATAAATTGCCAAGGGAGGTGGTGGAATCTCCCTCTCTGGAGATATTTAAGAACAGGTTAGATAGACATCTGTCAGGGATGGTGTAGACGGAGCTTGATCCTGCCTTGAGGGCGGGGGGCTGGACTCGATGACCTCTCGAGGTCCCTTCCAGTCCTATTATTCTATGATTCTATGATTCTATGATCAAGGCCACAGCCTGGCGGGTATCAGGCCAGAGCCTCCCTCTCTAGCTCCCTTGAGCCTGCCCAGCATTTCTCTGTCCAAGGTGCTTCTCCATCCCTAGGAGCCAGTCCTGCACCCTTGCTGGGCAGGACCTAACTGCCCTCTACTCTGCTGAGCGACTCTTTTGCCTTAGCTTCTTATAAGCCTCTCTCTGATGAGTCGGGGCTCTGCCCAGGCTCCCTCCAGCCTGCTTCAACCCCTTCTGGCTAGAGTGGGGGCAGCTAACCTATTCTAAGCTGTCGGCCACTCCATATGCCACCCGACGTGCCTACCCCTTTTGGGGGCTGCCTCAAATTATTTCTGCCAGCATGGAAAGCCATAATCCTAGAGAAGTGGGTTGTGGATATTTCCCAGAGTAGCTATGTCATAAAGTTTATGGAGATGCTGTTCTCCTTTGTCCACCCTGATGGGACACCTACACAATGAGTTCTTCCTACTAGAGGTGCATTTCTTCAGTGGAATGTAGTAGGAACTATCACTCGAAGAAGAAAACACACTTGTCTCCAGCTGGAGGCTCTTTGAGATTCTAGACCCACCCTCCTTCCTGTCTGCTGTGGATCTAACAGATATGTGGTAGAGAAGGAACTGGAAATACCAGTGGCCCACCACACCCTTGAGTGCCTCAGGCAAAACCGCGAGGTGATGGTAGCCACCTGTGCTGACTGCCGAACAGGATACTTTGAGAAACTCCTGTTCTGGGTCAGGATGGATTGATTTAAATCAGTAGGAAAAAAATCATTGATTTAAGTCAAGTTTCCTACTGATACTACTTTAAATTTTTCTAAAACAATAACCACTAAAACATGTTAATTTAGAATTCAGTACTGCGTTTTACAGCATCCGAGAGGGTATGCTTTGAGCAGTTCTTTTAGATAAATAAGAACTACATTACACACACAAACACAATAGCACTTATTGTATAAAGTTATCATTTTAGGAAATAGTACATAACATTACTTGTCACTTTGCAAATGCAGTAGCAGTACGTTAGACATAAGAACTACATTGCACACACAAACACAATAGCACTTATTGTGGCGTAGTGGGGGTGCTGTCTGCTCTGTGACCCGGGGTCCCCCTGTGCTGTGATGGGAGATTCTCACTGACTCTCTCAAATGTGTATTAACCAGTCACCCCGGCTCAGCCTCCCAGGGAGAGAGACAAAGGAAGGAATGCAGAGACCAACACCTGGCTGGGGGGTAGGGCTGGAAGGTTTTTTTTAGTTTGTCTGGTATCCTGGAGGAAGCAGCCTAAGCAACAGGCTGGGATTTAGGGGCCCAGTCTCCCCCATCTCAAAGGGGGCTGAGGCATCATAGGTCTGCCCTGTAACCAGATTATATCTGTGCTGTGCTGTATCCTGGACCCTGACGCGCCGCCACACTTATATTTTATTGAACTAAATCTTAAACGTTACCTAAATGTTTCACATTTGCAATTTCAGAAATCTCCTGAGTTGATGGGTGTCCTTAAACTTAAAAAAAAAAATCATGCTTTATTAACTTAACAGGTAAGTACTTGGAACATTGAGGGTGCGTCTACACAGCGGCGCTACTTGAAATGAGCTACACAATTTGAGCTACACAGATTGTGTAGCTTATTTCGAGCTTATTTCAAAAGAGACCACTTTTCCAACAAGCTCTTTAATCCTCATGGAACAAGGTTTATCAGGATGTCAGAATAGCAAGCCTGTTGTTTTGATTGCATTTTGAAATAACGGGTGTGCAGTTAAGACGTGGAAAACACTATTTTGGGATACCAGACATATCCCGAAATAATGCTGCTGTCTACACGTATCCTAAGTGTATAGTGTCCTTAAAACTACTACATCTTGCTCTTACAATGTTTCATGCTTGCAACTAGGCCTTGCATAATTTTCTTGCACAGCGTACATTTGACACGTTTCTTTTTTACTCAGGGAATGAAGTTCTTCAAAATATTCCCAGACAGGGTCTCTCTTTTGTGTTCAGAAGCCATGACAGTTTTTCTGTGGCAAAATACAGGAAGTTGTGTGTATGCTGAGTACGGTCTTCTCTTTTTCTTTTTGGTACACTCCACAGTTACTTTCTATGCATACTTAGTTGCTAGGTGTTACAGAGCAACTGAGTAAAAACAAAGTAAAACACAGAGAAACATTATCTCTGGGTGCAGCTTAGACATAGTGAATGGGGGTGTGTGTGCACATGGATTTAGCACAGAAAAATTTAACCCAACAACAATAGTCTGATTGCTACTAAATATAAATTTCTCTATTTACTCATGATCCATACTTATCCACACTTCAAGCCTGTCCCAGGGCAGCACTTGGGGGGCAGTTAAGAGACCCCCCCACTCCAATCTCTCTGGGAGCAGAAGCCTCGCTTAGCTTCTTATAAGCCTCTCTCTGATGAGTCGGGGCTCTGCCCAGGCTCCCTCCAGCTTGCTTCAACCCCTTCTGGCTAGAGTGGGGGCAGCTAACCTATTC